AGATAACAAGTTGTAGAGCTGGATGGACACAACAGGCCAGAAAATTTTCTGAAGAAGGGTCTAAGCCCGAAACGTCAGCCTTCCTGCTCCTCTGATGCTGCTTGGCCTGCTGTGTTCATCCAGCTCTACACCTTGTTATCAATGAGTAAGTTCTTGCTGAGTAAGTGCCGCTTAACAGTCATATCAATGACCCTCTGTGTCACCTTGCTGATGATCAAGAAGAGGCTGATGGGGTGATACAGTAGAGGCGGCTTCATCTTCACAAGGACTGTGTAGTGGTCACTCCTGCCATTACTTTAATGGACAGATGCATCTTCCAGATGTACATTGACTCCACCAACCTCCCTCCCTCACCCCTACCACTGCCTGCCATCGGCCCAGGATAATCCGGGCCATCACCTAAAATTTCTCTTTTAACCAAAATAGGTTGGTGAACTACTTCTCTGCAGCAGTAACTACACTTCTAAATCGTTGGGAGCCTTCCTCTCCCATGTAAAATGACACTCTCTATCCTGCGATAACCATTGATGCAATAATGGTTATGGGGAATCTGATGGTCTTATCATTTGTACATCAGGTCAAAGATTAATCTGTATCCACAGGGTCAGAACTCAACTCTCCTTGTACCATCACAGCGCATTTGCGTGCTGGTCTCTCTTATAATTCTGCATTTTTCAATTAAAATCTTTCAATAAGTTTTCCCAACACACCGACAGGCCATTTAACAAGGTTCGTTGTGGATCTGGTTTAAAAATGGAAAAGGGGAAGTAAACCATGAAACCGTAAACAGGTCACAACGTTGAGTTTGTGGTTTTTACCGCCTTCCACAACTCAAGATCAACAATGCATCCAACTTAGAGCAAGGACAGCGATAACAAACTGAAATCATAATTCCTCGATTGTATTATTTTCCTAAATATCGTCACTCACGGTTCTATCGTGAAGATGATACCACTTGGCTATTTAAAACCATACAGTCCTTTAAACGATATATTTGGCGACTAACCTGTAAATATTAAAGCTGCTGAGAGCCCGGAACGAAGCAAGTTTTTGTCCACAGCCATGTCTCTCCTTCGAGTCACTGTGTAAAGGATTACTGGATTACTGACATCGGCGTTTCCTCATTCTTCCAAGACAGGTACTAAAACTGGAACAAGGGTTACAATGCTGGGCGGAGAGTTCCTGGAACAGTCAGCACTGACACCTCCCAGAAATATGCAATCAGTGTTCACCCTTGGACCAATGTAGTTGTTGACAAACTGCTGCAACACGGAAAGTGCAGGTATATGAAACAAAGAAATAGTTGCGGGAACGCTCCAGGCGTATTATCTCCTTTATAAACAGAGCTGACTTCATTGTTCCATTCTGCAGAGAAATTGAGGCTGGGCCAAAAATACTGGTCTTGCCAGCAGGGCCCACACCTAGGAGCAAATTAAAAAAAAACAGATATTTACCTGGGCCCATGATATTAGTCACTGACCTTTTTTTTAGTCTTTAACTTATATTTATTGCAGTACAAACCTCAGCATTATCATTGGTGGTTGCTTGCAGATGAAGATGACTCTGTTCTACTCTCAGGGTGATCCGTAGGTGACAGTACAGACCAATGCAGCTTCTGCAGGCTCTGTTACACTTGGAGCAGGTGGCGGTCATGGGAAAAGGTCAGTGGGGTGTTCATGTGGCACCTGCGATGCCTTCCCAGATGCTCCTCCTCCACTTTGGACGGTCTAGGGGCCAGTGATTCCCAGGTGTCTGTGGGAATGCCTTGAGGGTATCACTGAAGTTCTTTGTCTGTCCACCGGGGACTCGCCGTCCGTTTCGAAGCTGGGAGTAGAGCACCTGCTTGCGGAGTCATGCTGATGATGTGCCCAGCCCATGTAGCCGATCAAGGACGGTCAGTGCCTCAATGCTGGGGATGTTGGCCTTGTTGAGGAAGCCGGTAATTGGTGTGTCTTTCTTCCCAGTGGATTTGCAGGACCTTACACAGGCAGCATTCGTGGTACTGCACTAGTGCCTTGAGGTGTCTGCTGTGGACCGTCCACATCTCAGAGCTATTTAGGAGGGTGGGAACCACCACAGCATTGTAAATCATGATCTTGGTGTCAAATCTGATGCTGTTGTTCAAACTTACGTTAATTGGAACAATGAGATGCAGGGAGCAGTACCTATTGTTCCTAGGAAACCCCTCCCTGAAGATCCAATGCCACAGGAAGCTCAGAATAGATCCTGAACTGCTCCAAGAGTTAGGTAGATTCTTGATAAACAAGGGACTGAAAGGTTATCATGCATAGATGGGAATATAGAATAATTAGATCAAACATTACCTTATTGAATAGCAAGGCCGGTTCAAGGAGTGAGCACCTGCTCCTAATTTCTGTTTTCATATGATCTTATTGAATGGTGAAGTAGACTGAAAGAGCCAAGTGGCTTACTCCTGTTCCTAAGTCCTATGTTTTTAAAAATGAGCTGATAGCAGACGAACAGTGCTTGCGTACCATTAGGATTCCTTCAGATTTAAAAAAAAATCCAGGCCATAGTTCTACTGACCACTTTCCACATAAGAACATAAGAACTAGGAGCAGGAGTAGGCCATCCGGCCCCTCGAGCCTGCCCCGCCATTTAGTAAGATCATGGCTGATCTTTTTGAGACTCAGCTCCACTTACCCGCCCACTCACCATAATCCTTAATTCCTTTACTGTTCAAAAATTTATCTAGCCTTGCCTTAAAAACATTCAGTGAGGTAGCTTCAACCGCTTCACTGGGCAGGGAATTCCACAGATTCACAACCCTTTGGGTGAAGAAGTTCCTCCTGACCTCAGTCCTACATCTGCTTTCCTTTATTTTGAGGCAATGCCCTCTAGTCCTAGTTTCACCTGCTAGCGGAAACAACCTCCCTGCTTCCACCTTATCTATTCCCTTCATAATCTTATGTGTTTCTATAAGATCTCCCCTCATTCTTCTGAATTCCAATGAGTATAATCCCAGTCTACTCAGTCTCTCCTCCTAATCCAATCCTCTCAACTCTGGAATCAACCGAGTGAATCTCCTCTGCACCCCCTCCGGTGCTAGTATATCTCTTCTCAAGTAAGGAGGCCAAAACTGCACACAGTACTCCAGGTGTGGCCTCACCAGGACCCTATACAGCTGCTTCATAGCTTCCCTCTTTTTAAACTCCATCCCTCTAGCAATCGCAGACAAAATTCCATTTGCTTTTTTAATTACCTGCTGCACCTGCAATCCTACTTTTAGCGATTCATGCACAAGGACACCCAAGTCCCTCTGCACAGCAGCGTGCTGCAATTTTTCACCATTTAAAACATAGTCCATTTTGCTGTTATTCCTACCAAAATGGATGACCTCACACTTATCACATTTTAATCCACTGCTTTTATTTTAAACACATTTCTCTCTTTGAGGCTCCCACTGCTGCATGACCAACTCCTATGAAATAAAGAAAGATAAGCTTCAACCATGGGTTTCTGGTGACCTACTGATGGTGTACCCATAAGAGCTGGGAAATGGTGGCAGGGATGGGAGGGTGGTGTTTTGGGGGGGTGGTGTGTGGCTGCGAGATAGTGTGCATCGTGCTCTTTAAGGCAATCAGAGCATATAACTTTTCATATGGAGTTATGACATTATCATTTCTACATTGACTTAGACCTACAGTCCTGCACAAGTCACTTAACACAGACTCCAAGACACTGTCTCCCACAGGCTTCACTAGAAGAGAGGGACAACATGCATTCCTCAAAAGGTATGGGCCAAAGAGTCAAAATAAAAACATGAGTCAGTTGGTCACCCTCTCCAAGATAGTTGAATAATTTGTAGCTATGAACATCCGCAGCTGATCTGTTGTGAAACTTGTCAACATTTCTTATGCTGGGCTTTTCTGCGAACATCTCCCTTTGCACAAATTAAATTGCACTATCACTTATAATTACAAGTTACCTCTTATGAATGGTCACTCAACAAAGTTATCATTCATGGAAAAAAAAGTATTTTCCACTTATTCCCTCTCACACTTGACTGTCCCTTCACATGCATTGCAAAAGTATCTTTCAAGTCTGCAGGTATTCTAATTGTATGCGAGCACTGTTCAACTGCTTTCAGCTCATATTTAGAAACATAGGGCTTAGGAACAGGTGTAGGTTTTTTCACCCTTTGAGTCTGCTTCACTATTCAATAATATGATATGAAAACAGAAATTAGGAGCAGGAACTCACCCTTTAAACATGTCCTGCTATTCAATAAGGTCAAGTTATGTTTGATCTGATTATTCCACATTCCCACCTATGCATGATAACCTTTCTGACCAATTTTTTTAAAAATCAAGAATCTACCTTACTCTTCATTAAAATGATTTAAAGACTGCTTCAACATCCTTTCGAGGAAGAGAGTTCCAAAGACTCAAAACCTTCTGTGAGAAGATATTTCTCCACATTTCCGTTCTAAATGAGAAACTCCTTATTTTTAAACATTTTAGAATCTCCCAAGTGCACCCTATCAAGACCCCTCTAGATCTGTTATACTTCAATGAAGTCACCTCTTATTCTTCCCACCTCCAGTGAAAACAAGCTGATCCTGTCCAATATTTTCTCATAAGACAAATGTCATTCTAAGTATTTCTCTAGTAAACCATCTTTGATCTGCTTGTATCACAGTTAACTATTTCCTTATTTAAAGAGACCAATACAGCACATAGTCCTCCAGATGTGGTCTCACTAATAGCTTGTATAGCTGAAGCATAACCTCCCTACTTTTGTAACACAAAGAACTGCAGATGCTGGAAATTTGAAACCAAAACAGAAATTGCTGGAGGAACTCAGCAGGTCTGGCAGCATCTGTGTAGAGAAGACAGAGTTAATATTTTGAGTCCAGTGACTCCTTCTTCAGGACTAATAATAGCTAGGAAAAACTGGTATGGAAGCTGAAGACAGGGGATGGGGAGAGGAGGGGTGAGTGGATAGACAGAGACAGAGCCCAGAGAGAGTATGGCAATTGGACAGACAAAGGGATGGATGAGAATATGCCAGGGAGAAAGAAAAGCTGATCATAAGAACTATAAGAAGGTGAAAATGGTTTGGATGTGTTGAAAGCAGCCCATGTGATGACAGGGTCTGGTGTGCGGGGGTTGGGGTAAAGACATGAAAGCAAGTGTTCAGGCTCTAAAATTATTGAAATTGATTTGAGTACTGAAGGCTAGGGTTCCCCAAGTGGAGGATGAGATGCTGTTCTTCCAGCTTGAACTGATCTTTGCTGAAGTACTGCAGCAAGCCTGTGACAGAGTTGTTGGCCAGGGAACATGGTGGTGTGTTAAAGTCGTGGGCAATCAGAAGCTCAGGGTCAGAATGAGAACGAATGGAGTCTTTACAGGAAGCAGGGTGTGAGGATATTCAGTCCAGGTAACTGTGGGACTTGGTGGGCTTGTAGTGGATATCAATTTTGCAGACAGAATGTAAACTTTTCCATGAAGTGGTCACCCAGTCAAGTGAACCTTCTATGGACTGCTTCCAAAGCAGTTCCTGCGGTGATGTTTTTCACTGGGGAATGCCATTTGCGTGCCAAATGCTGTTGCCATGGTAACGATTGTTGCTGATCCATTGTTTTTGTTGGAGAATGATGGACCTCTGGGACAGCTTGTCTGCAGTTGCTGGCTCACACCTTGCTCATCAGCTGTCTTCAGTGAAGGTGCAGGTTCTGTAGTTGTATGTAATTATCTGAACTTGTGACGACAGAGCTGGCTATTCACACTCTGCATGTATGATTGAGGTGACAACTGCTCTATGCAGGTTCCAACTTGCTATTTGGGATGACTCCTATTGAGAGTGTATAATGTTTGCACTGTAACTGGCTCTCCAATGCTCAGTTCTGGTAATGATTTGGCAGTTTTATCAAAGTGATATTTGGCTTTCTGCCATTTCACTTTGACCTTGTCACTTACGCCTGTTGGTCATGGCATTTGTGCTGCAGCTCTGAAAAAGAATCATATTCAACTCAAAACATGAGTTCTCTTCCTCTTTCCATTGTTGCTGCTAGACATGCTAAGTATTTGCAGCACTTTTTGTTTTTATTTGAAGGTAAGACCAGGGATTGGGGTCAGGAGAATGTGGAAACCACAGCTTCA